ACCGGGACTAATGAGTTTCACATTAGACCCTTTTTCTACTAGTGTAGCTAATTTAGTACATTGTTTAAAAAATTAATATATTTTGTACCCTATTTTAGTATAATTTTTATTCTATTTTTTGAGGTATAGTAAGTTACTGTATACATATACATATATATATATATATATATATATATATATATATATATATATATATATATTTGGTATTCTACATATAACGAATGTAGTGGTATTTATTTTGTATAATACACCATATGACAGTGTAATTCATCACAAGTTTACTGGTATTTATTGGTTATTCTAGACGTGGATAAATTTTTCTATAACCTTGACCACAACAAACATGAGCATCCACATATATGAATTTATGATGTTTCCTGTAATATTAAGTATGTATAGATATATTTAGTTTTATAGATTGAAAACAAAATTAAGAAGGTGATGTGTGCTTGAACCTCATTACACCATTAATGTATGAAAGAACCTTATATGAGTATGCTACATTATTAAGATAAAGTTATGTAAATAAAGGCTCCTTCCATAATAAGGTTATTCAAAAGTTTCACCTTTTGTTACATGCGGTACCAAATTCTGATATTAATTGGACAAAAAGACATGTATCTATCGTAACTGGGAATAAAGCTTAAGGAGTCTTAAATCAGGGTGCTGCAACTATGTAATGCATGCAATTATATTTCCAAACGTTAACTGTTATACATAGAGTTGTATACCAAAGCAAAGGTATTTCTTTTTTCCATGGTAACTTGGTAAGCATATATTATATAGGTAGTTTGGCTAATACAATTGCAATAAACAGGTCACAAGGTTTACTATGACATAATTTTTACGGCACTCACCCTAAGTAATTTATAATTAAAAAACACGTATCTTTTGCACACACGTAAACATTCTCGAGAAACTGAATATTCTTTAAAGTTGAAATTCCATTTATTTTGCCTAAAATCCTGGGGAGTGGCTCAACCCTTAAGTCTTGCACGTCTAAAATATATCACAAACATACATTTAGAGGCGTGTAATTTATTAATTGCAGTTCTGTATTGTTTCAAAGAACTTCATTCCCTTACTTTGCACCTACAAAGAGCATAAAGTTGCTTTCCAGAAAGGTTATCAAATGGGTTGGTATCCTACTCACACTTATCTTCGGTGAAAGTTTTCCCACAAAGGCAAGACAAAAGCAACAATAACCTACGTACATTTGTGGCATATTTCATTTTATAACACCTCACACGCGCATAAGCATCTCATCACATACAAGTAAGGGCAACTCTAACGTGGATCACCAAATCACCTCTAAATATCCAGACCGTACTGGTCCGAACACTTTTTGCCATTCAAACGGGAGTCACCAAATATCTGCGGATAATGAGGTCCGTGAACATTTAATGATGTAGGTTTTGCTGAATCGCGTTGAAGTTGCCCTAAGAACTTTCTCCTCCGTGAAAGAGAGAGGGACAGCGAGATCTACAGAGGGAGGGAGAGAGAGGGGTAGAACTTACATTTTGAATGGATGCCCCGTTGCTGCCGTGGCCCATGTATGGGTAGCTTAGAGCCTGCAAGAAGAACAATCACTGGTCATGCACGAGAGAGAGAGGGCACGCGAGAGAGAGAGAGAGAGAGAGAGAGTGCATAAAATGCTAGTCGCCTGAAACACAAGACGCTACAAGAGGCAGCACATCCATCCATCCATCGATATCTCTGTTGCCGCTGCTGCTGCTGTGTGCTCGCGCTCCCATGCATGCACACAGCGCCCAACTTTAACAGCGTGCTCTTGCACCCAGTCCCACACCCATACCCTGCCCCCCAGCCATATTTTCTTTTTGTTTCCTGCGCGCCCTCAGTGTGCTTCTACCGTCGCCTGCGTGTGGACTATGGAGGCATGCAGTGGTGGGCTCAACTCTCCAGCCACAGCAGGCGTTGGAAAATGTTACTTGCGCTTTTTAGAGATACTGCTCATGCTATAACTGACATGTAGGTACCATGAGAGAGCGAGAGAGAGAGAGAGCGAGAGAGAGAGAGAGATTGGACCTCAATTTGACCCAGGAGGAATCTGACATAGCCAATGGTCTCTTGCAGTACAGACGCTGTGTCAGTCTGTAAAAGGGCGCACGTGTGTCAGAGATAAACTTTGGTTGGACACAACCCCTCAAGTGAACTGAAACAGGCAAAAGAAAGAAAACTATAGACAAATGTAACAGCACACATGAGCTAGCTTGTAGTACATCTACTGCGGGTACACATTTAGATCTAGCTCTCCACTACTGCTGCAAAGCAAGAATCGTCAAACAATTAATCACTTCCCGGTTATCACCTTGCCAAATGGGGAAACTATTTGGTGAAGTGCAGTTATTCTGTCCCCTAGCCTCTCCTTCCTCACCTGGAAAATGGTCACAATGAATAAACAAATGCTTGTAAACAGGATAGTAGTGGAAAGAAACGTCAATTGTGAAAGTCATTTTCGTGTGGTCTTGCTGCACGAACTTCTATATAGTCAAGTGCCCTTTATGCGCGCGCGCGTGTGTGGGTGTGTGTGTGTGTGTGTGAGAGAGAGAGAGAGAGAGAGAGTAATGGGCTAGAGTTATGCATGGAAAGCAGAGATTTGACGAGGAAGAAACCTTTAGAGTAGATTGTGCTGAGGACGAGGCCTGAACCCTAGCCTTCTTGAGAGCTGAACCTGTCGCGGTGCTGTTGCACTACAGAAAGACAAACAAACCAAAGCGTGAATAATCATGACCCCATTTTTATGTTGTCCCAACAAGAAGTACTCACTGTAGAACGCCCAGCGATTCTACCCGGCCCTCTACAGTGAGTACAGCTGAACACTTATAGTATAGCAGAATATAAAAGAATTCAGGGTGAGGAAATGAGCAAAACATCCAGTAGCTAGCTCTGCCAATGATTTTGCAATGTCCTACACTCTTACCAAGAGATCCTCAAACATCAAGCTATGGAGACATCAGTTAACTAGTAGTTCACCAAAGAGGATTTCCAAAGGAATATCAGAACATGTGGAGTATCTTTTCCGAAAAGAACAATATCTAGGGGATGACTGAGTGCACCATTGTCAAGAGATTGCATCGACAGCCATAAAAACCTGAACCTAGAGGATTATTACTGATAACATGATCATACATATAGAGCTTTCCACTTTAGAAAAGAACACCAGCTTTTTCATGAAGGAGATGAAGCGCACTTGCAACAACCAACTCAAACTCATAGAGAAACAGACCAAGGTATACATGAAATAAGCCGCGAAGCATGGTAAACTAAATTAAGCCAGCCATAGAAAACCGAAGAGAGCAAAAAGCCCTCCTACCTTCCCGGTGACCTATATTACAGAGCAAATTAACTGGTAACATCTAATCTAATATCGTTATTCACCTCGGATGAGTTGTCGGAGTGGTGGTGGCTCCTCAGCTCCGGCGGGGGCGGTGCCATGCTGTTTGAGAAGTCGAGCATGTTGCTGCCCAGGCTTGTGGTGACGCATGACCTAGGAGAGGAGGCTAGGAGCATCTGGCTCAGCTGGGACTTGGGCTGGATCTCATGTCCGTCACCAGCAAGATGGCTCCCATAGAAGTTGTAAGAAGGAGCGCCTCCGGCGACGGACTGAGGCATGGAGCCGTCCTCCTTGGTTCCAACCATGCATGCACTTGCAGCAGCCTGATGATCCCCCCAATTCTCTAGTCCCTTTGACAGGAGAGCCGTGGTGGTGCTGTATCCCTCTCTCTCTTCACCTCCAACCAATCCCCCACTGCTGTATATGATGCAGTATGCACAAAGAACACACAGATATACACAAATACATCAGTCGATGGAGATAAAAACAACTGCAAGTCAGTGAAATGAACATGCAACAGATGATTAATTAGCATATAGGAGCTGATTGTGATCTACTAAAGGACGAAGTGGATTAATCACTTTATTCCTTCCCCTAGAGCTACATATACTCACGTATGTAATTAAATTTTACAAGCATATTTTCTTCTTATCTGAATCACTAGCATGTAGACAGAGAGAGAGAGAGAGAGAGAGAGAGAGAGAGGTGTTTACACTATCATCTGGCTCCATGACTCTGGCATGTGCTCCTGGGTGCCGGTGCTGCCGTCATGCAAGCTTAGAAGAGAGGTGACGCCGTTGATGTGACCCAGGCCTGATGAGCTGTGAGGAAACTGCTGGGAGAAAAGCATGGAGGGAGAAGACAAGGAGGGCAGCTTGGGAGACGCCTCTTGTTCCTCGTGGCATGGCTTCAAGCTACTCATGATACTACTGGTACCACCATCCCCAGTGCCGCTCCAGATCATCTGTTGCACCAGGGAGCTCTGGAATTCTCCTCGATTCATCACGCGCCTCTGGTGAGAGAAAGAGGAGATAGAGCGGGGGAGATGCGTTCCCGGCTTCCCGCTGAAAGGAATGCTCTCGCCTCTCATGCCCTTGCACCCGGTGTGCGGAAATCTCAGCTCAATCTTCAAGGGACCAGTGGCTTAATTTTCTTTGAGCAATGGGGTATATGATGTTCTTGGGAGAGAGGGGGAGGGTGTGGGTAAGAGAAGAAGAGAAGAAAAAGCATAGGGCCTGTTTGGAGGGGAATCTGGGCATTGTTTTGTTTTCCCTTCCTTTTGCTTCACTCCTTTATCTATGAACGAACTTTCCGTTGCTTTCCTCCCCCCTTTCCCTCTCCTCTTTCATTCTTTCGTTACACAAACGAGAAAAATATATCCTTTATTTCCTTCTCCCTGCCGCTTTTGCTTTCGGAAAGGAGCGGTTTAAAGAGGAGACAGACGGTGCTTGTTAATCAATCTCTCTTAGCTTGTGTTATTATATATCCTACACGAGTACCTTTCAAACGTGTCTGTACTGATGTTAAAAAAAACAATTAAATAGCGAGCTAATAATTACTCCCTCTGTCTCATAATATAAAAACGTTTTTAACACTATACTGGCATAAAAAACGCTCTTATATTATGGGATGAAGAGAGTAGTACTGTACTGGCGACCAAGACAACCAGCGCTGATGAGTTACATCTGTATAGATAGATGGATGATGATCATGTGTAGGTGCGTTGCCTGCAGAACACGCACATACACAGCAGCGGAGGCAGTACACGCGCGCATGCAGGCACGCACGTCGCACCTAAAGTGAGAGCATGCATGCAGAGGGAGAAAGGATATCCTCTGTTGCTTAATACGGAGTATATTCGTCCTTTGATATGGAGAACCGGGACATCACACGGTTTGCTTGCTTGGATTGCCAAGGGAAGGAAATACGAGTGCGCTACAAACAGTAGAATGCCGTTGTAGGCTTGTAGCCCTCACTAGGAATGTAGGTAGCTCATATATTACGTGTTGGCTAAGGAAAAACAATAAACCGCCAAATATTGATGTTGTGCTTCCTCGATTAGCGCATAACGAGTGTTTAGGGGAAAGCGAGTCTTGTTTATTTTAACGGGAAGTGTGCTCCCTCAAAAGCTCAAAACTTATTAGAGGAATCGAGTATTCAAATTTCCAACCAACCACCAATCATGAAATCAAGCCTTTTTAGTCTTCAATGTTTTTGTAATGCATGTTTATGCTTTGTAAACTTGATCCCTGCATTTTACCTAGAAAAAAAATAAACTCATCCTGCATTTGTAACAAATTATGGAAATTTATTATTAGCATTACTATATAATCTAGAATATTGCCTGGTGCTAGGTTTTTTCTTTGAGCAAGAACTATAGAACAATTATTCTACGGTAGCACATAGCCTTCTCTTTCCCCTCCACAAGAAAAGACCTTAGCCCTTCCTTCTTCTCCCGTTGGCGCCGCCGCCGTCTCCTATGGCCTTTGGGCTAAAGAGGTGCGGAGGATCTCGGCTCTCCGCTGACGGGAGGGATCCCGTTCTCGTTCTTGTTTTTAGAGATACGACAGGCAAATCAACATCATGAAAAACGGAGAACAAGTAGGAGACACACGATTTTAACATGGAAAACCCCTCCAACACAAAATGGAAAAACCACGGGCGCCAGCCAGCAAATCTTCACTATATCGGGGAAGGTTACAAACGCCGGGGATTTACAACTAATTAACTTATCCCGTGTGGTGGCTTACAAAGGATATGTATAACACAAGTAACCTAGGATCAATACTAATCAATACAGCAGGGGGCTTCGCCCCCCCCCCCCTTCCCGCACACCAAGTTTCCCTGTCGGGGGCGGCATGTAACACCCTGAATTTTGCCCTTTTCTTTTTCTGAGGATTTTCTTTGATTTATTGATTTGATTTGTTTTTCTGTGGCTATGTGGTTCTGAAACTTGGGAAGACCATGTCTTCCTAGGTTTTATAGTGGTTGTCATCCCCAAAACCATCCCTAGATCATGTCATTTTCATCCTAACCCAAATCCCAATAATCGTTTATTGGGAATATTCCTTTTCTATTAAAGGAATAACCCTATCTGCCCTAGGTTGTGAAGCAACCTATATTTCTGTCATTCTAAAAATTCCCAAATAATTATCATAAATTATTTGGGTTATACATGTTCAAAATTCATCCTCCAATAATTTTTTTCCTATTCTGCCCTAAATGGCACTGTGTGAAGCAAGTGCTATTTATCTTTGCTTGATTGCCTCCAAAATTTTAGGACACCTTTTCTTGTCCATATCATTGCCCTGTGCCAAAATTCAACTTCATTTGCCTAGTAAATCTTCCACAGTGATTTTTCAAAGTTCCTGTCTGAGGGAAGCCTTTGTGAAGGAAGTACTAGCTATGGTAATCCAAATGAGTTGAAATTTTGCACACTCCTTCATGTGCTCATATCATAAACCTCCTCCAAGTTTCATCCCATTCCATTTATGTATGTGAGCCCAGGATTAATTCTTTGTTTATGTCCAAATTTTCAGTTAGTGAAGCAAGTATATTTTATCTTGCTCCATTATGGCTGAAAATTTTCCTGAGCCTTCTCCTACCCATATAACCGATCTCCACAAGATTTTGGCTCGATTCATCGAACCATTTGTCCTGTGCAATATTTCCAAGTTTCTGGTCAGAATAAAGCTCTGTGAAGCAAGTACCATTTTGATATTTCCAAATGGCGTGAAACTTTTATAGTGGCTTCATATGATCAAATAACCCACCTACTCCAGATTTCAGCTCATGAAAATCATGTATGTGAGTGCAACTTCGTAATCCCCAAATCTGACCAGTAGGGCCCTTTCTATAGCAACTACCCTCTAAACTCCTCCTCTAAAGCTGATTTTTGGTGATAACATCATCTTAGTATGTGATCATCACCAAAAAAATCCCTTCCTTCATTCCCAAGCTGGTGTCCCCACTACACATCATAAACACTTGGCTATTGGTCTGCTTTGGGGCCACCTGCAAATCTCTTCTTTACCCCTGGACCGAATTCTTTCTTTGGTTGGACTTAGGGCACTAAGGTCTATCTACTAGACATGGCCGGTCTGGCCAAAATGAGCTATTTGTACCAGTGTGCGTGGTCATCACGCTTGCGTCATGCAAATTGCGAGCTCTGCCTCGTTCCGGCTGCTATTCCCGTTGTCTCCCTCGTTGTCTCGATGTCCAACCTTGTCTAGTAGCTCCCCCGTGTTCTACTGCGTCGCCCTGCGCCGCTGCCTCGTCGTGGTTCGCCATAAATGTGCCGCTAGAGGCGTGCATGTGCCGCGTCCAGCCACTAACCTCCATTAGAGCCATGCCCAAGCTTGCCTGTGATGCTCTAGAGGCTTCCTCCGCGCCTATTTAAGCTGCCCCGAGGTTCTCCGCACATCACCATCCCCTCCCTCCCCTCATTTGATCACCGGAGAGCCTCTCATCGCCGTTTTTCCTCGGACCACCGTGATCTCGCCAGTGTTCATCATGTTTCCGACGAGCTCAAGCCTCCTCTCCTCCTCTAGCCACCTCCACCGAGTTCCCCTCGTCCTCGCAAGCCGCCCCGCTCCTTTTCACCTCGCTGGAGTGCCCCATGGCCACGTCCCCCGAGTCTGGCCGCCGCTTTCTCCTATCGGCCATCGCTTAAATCCGCCTGTGCCGAGCCCCTCCTCCTCTGATGGTGCCACCAACATCTTCTTCTCTCTCCGGTGACCCCCCTCCTCCACTCAGCCCATTGCCGGAGGCCTGGAGTACCTCGCCTCCAAGAAAACGGCCGCCGCGGCCCCGCTCTCTATATTCGGGCGTCGCCAGCGCCCCAGCCTGCCCCGGCGCTCCCTCTGCCCGGGGATGGATGCGGCGCCACCCCCCGACCTTGCTGGTTGCCTCCCGGTGGCCGGAGCCAGCCAGAGTTAGCCCCTCCGTCACCGGCAGTGCCCTGCCCATCCTCCTCTGCTCTCTGTCGCGAGCGAGCACGAGAGGAGGAAGAAGACGAGGCTAGGTGGGCCCCGCATCGCCGCCTGACCCCACCTATCAACGGCTGCACGTTGACCCCGCCTTGCCACATCAGCGTAAGTGGAAACACGTTTTCCAGTGTGCGTTTCCATTAAGTGAAAACATATTTTACAATAATACGTTTACCTCTTCTAGAAGTGCATTTCGTTCTTCTTTTGCCTAAAGTGCGTTTTCTCTGCTCTGAAAGCGTATTTTATAATATTCGCCTCCGCCTTATCCACTCAGGGACCCAGATGTGATTGTTCTTTTACAGGAAAGTCCATGATCTTCTTCACCTCATAATTCCGCAACCGTAACTCCAATCGAGGTGAAACCAACGCCCACTTCTTCGTCTCGTTGAGACCTTTCTGTTGGTACCGTTTTCACTAGGTTGTCCCACAGTAAAAATGACCGTTTTTCCCTTGCTTCTAATCAGCCCCCTTTGAGAGAGAAGACTGTCTGGCGTTTCGTTCCGCGGCTTCACCGCACTTCTCCCCGGAGTCCCCGTCACCCCCAAGCAAGCCACAACAGCCACTTGCATGACATGCAGTAGCCATGGTCTCTACTTGAATATTTAATAAAAGTTTGCTCGCTATCTGCTTGCTTGTTTTCTACTACTGTCGTTGTTTCGGTTATGCTCCTGGTTTCTTCTTCACCTTCATGCTATGTTCCGGTGCATCTTGTTACCTTGTACTTTGCTAGTATCATTTCCACATGTCATGTTTGGTAGTAGTAGTACATGATGGTAGCAGTGATGTTCTTTCTGGTGCATGCTTACCGTCTGTTATCTAGTACCGTTGCGATGGATGTTCCTTTGCATCTAGTTGGTTACATGTTTACTTGGTAGTATTCTTGCATGGTATTTGTTTCTAATGCTAGTGGTCATGATATGCTCATGTGTAGTGTTATGCTTATGCTCGTCAGTACGTCATGCTCATTTGGATATATGCTTCATTGTTGTTATGCTCGATGATTTATTATGGTTGCATATCCATGCTCATGTTGGTATCATGTTCATGCATTGTCGTTCCATCATGTTATTTTAATATGGCTCAGCATATTGCATTCAAGTTT